ATAAATCTATATGTACCTGTACTGTCCAATACAGTAACCATTAGTCACCAGTGTCAACTGAACCCTGGAAATATGAGTAGTCTGAATAAAAATATTCCACAAGTATAAAATATACATTGGATTTCAGAGCCTTTGAATGAAGGATAAAAAGCACAGTATAGTAATTTTTATACTGATCACATGTTAATAAATTATTTTGGATATATTGGATTAAATATAATGCGTTCTTGAATTTACTTTTGCATGTTCTTTTATACCCTGTTTAATGTTGCTACAAGAACATTTTAAATTACATACATGGCTGATAATCATATTTCCACTGGACAGTGCTGCTGTAGGCTTCTCCTGTACAGCTTCAGAGCTCTATCCTTTCCTCTGTCTCTCTAGCTTTGTGCTGCCAGATACAATGAAATAAGCCACATGTGGCTATTTCAATGGAAATTAATTAAAATTAAACAAAAGTTACAGCTCATCCTTCCTTTGGTGCTTAGTAGCTAGATATTGTTAGAGGCTAACATATTGCAGGGTAGAGCATTTCCACTGTTGCAGAAAGTTCTATAGGACAGCATAGACCTAGCTCTGTTGACCTAGATATAACAGAGTTATGGCAAGAGCCACAGAGGTAAGTTGAGAATGCCTGAAGGCTGAAAGATTTCCATGGTGCCTAATTCAGCACATATCATCTTCCCCTCTCAGAGGCGCTCTCCCTGCCTTCCTTTGTTAAACTTGTTTATGCACTGCTTATCTTTTCTTCTTTCCTCTTTCAAGGCCTGTTGCATGTTTATCTCTCTAGAACACACCTCCCCCTACCCAGCTTTCTGTTTGTACACAGTATCTAACATGGTGCTTTGTACAATATAGGTATCAGTAAGCATTTTGTTAAGCAGTAAAGTGGCAATTCTTAGCAACTGATTGGAAATATATGGCTGAAGATAAAGAAAGATCTGTATTGCTTGTAGCCAGGAGAGATAGATAGATAGATAGATAGATAGAGAGAGAGAGAGAGAGAGAGAGAGAGAGAGAGAGAGAGAGAGAGAGACGATCCAAGCCAAGATCTCAGAGAAGAAGGAAAAGGAGCTACTAGAGAGAAGAGGAGAAATCAGAGACACAGTGGTGACCTAAAATCTCATACATATCACCAGAAATCCTTGGGTCACTGCACACGTTTCCCACAGGCTGTAATGAGGATCATTACATGGGAATTCACAGGCCTGAACAACAGTAATAAAAATTACAAAAGAAATCCAAAATATTATTATGCGATAAACATTCAAGGCATCAAAATGAAAGGCATGAAGATTAAGGGTCTGGTAAAGAGAAAAAAAAAAGAAAAATGTCCTCTCTCTGGGCCAGCTGGTTTGAGTTACGTTTTATGAGCAGTGTGTGAATTCCAGCGCCCTTGTTGAATTAGCAGCAGAACTGCACGTTAGCTTTAAGGCTCCCTCTCGAATAGGAACATCATAACGTTTTTTAATTGGGCCTGATAAAAACGTAGCATTACTTGTAGGTTCCTGAGAGAAGTGAGTTGTGAAATTGGGTTTTCATTAAACCTAATGATGGAAAATTAAGTGTAGTGCGTCTGGTGAAATGGGGTGTGATAAAAGGCATCACTTCTGCATTATCAGAGGTTAATAAGGGAATAGGTGAGGTAAGATACATAGGAAAAGGGAGTCCAACTAGTTGAATTAATAAACCTTGAAAATCCCTTGGTTCCAAGTCTTCATAGCACCATTAGCACTGGCATTGACATTATTACAAATGTTACAGCAACACGAGTTGTTAAATCTCAAGCGCATTTATTTTCCATGCCAGTGTTGGTTTTGCTGACACCAAGTTTACAGTCTGTCTAGCAATGTGTTTAGGGAAAATACCCATATTGATAGCTATGTGGTTTTGGAAACATTTGATGTCTTACAAAATTTGCCAGGTGCCTATTCCTAAGAAGCATGCCACTGCCAGGCAGCTAGTCTCCCACGCCACCCGTGCCCGATGTCCTTTGGGAGACTGTGGGTCTCAGAAGACACCAGTGGTTTCGGTGGGAGACAAAGGGCTTCTGGCCTTGACTCTGGGGAATCCTATCCTGGGGATCATGAAGGGTAACATTTAGATGCTCAAACTCACGTGCTCCTTTCCTGTGCATCCCCCACCCCCTCACACCATCACAGGAGTGACATTCACTAGAAGGATGCCACAGATTGATGACAGCCAGGACACTTACAAGAAAGAGTGTGAGTGTTTAAAGAAAGGGATTCTTCTTCAGACCCTTCAACAACTTCACACTGGCTTCAAGAGTCTTTACAGTGAAAGCCTTTCTGGATATGCTTGGCAGTATCTTATAAGCATCGCCCAGTGGCTTTTACTCCATATCAAACTCTCTGCTCTTTCTTAAATGTGCCTTCCCTACTCAGGCTCCATTTGCTTGTTTGTCTTTTGCTTTTGCTTCAGATGGTTCTTTCTGTCTGTTTTCCCTGCCAGATCATTAAGCCTTGAAGGTAGAATCTGTATGTTTCTCTGCGTCACCTCTGCCTACCAGAGGCCTTGGCACACAGTGGCTTTTCCGTAAGTCCAACTCATGATCGCAAGGGTGTGAAGGAGAAAGGAAGAAACCTCCACTTTTGCCAATCATTAAATTTAAACAATACCATAAAGGTGGATCTACTTGTTACATAAAATCCCAGGAGAAAAAGTAAGCAGTATTTTTTTTTAATGTGCAGCTGGGAAAGTTTTGCTAACATCTCACCTTGACCCTTTTCCTTGTATAAACCTTTATCTGCAAGATCTTTCTTTTGACAATCCATGAGAGATTAGTCTGATCCCAAAGAACAGCTCTGACTTGCTTATATGTACTGACCACATTAAATCAGGAAATTTTAGAGACCACACTGTGTACATACTGACCCCAGCTACTAATTAGATATGGCCCAATTAATGTCTTAAATTCAGAGCAATTAAATTTGTAGCTCCTGCTCCCTTGGGGAAGCAAATAGATGGGGGCAGGTAGAGAAATGGAAAAATGAGAAATGTAGCTCCCTCCCCAAACACAAACATAGAGGAAAACTTAAGAGTAACCAACCACCCTTATTTCCTCAGGACTCTGAGCTGTCAGGGCTTTTAAATGTGGTATGCTGGATTTTCAGTGGTAAAACCAGAAAAGTGTAAGGAAAACTGGGACAAGTTGATCATCCTGGAAATCATAGAGGCCAGACATTCCCTTTCACTATCCTTTTCTTACCAAGAACTGCCTGTCGGTGCTGTCATGTAGGAGTCGTGCGCTTTGACATACAAAGTCTATGTCTGATGGATTATTGTGACATGAGAGACAAACAAGCTAGAAAAGACAAGTTCCAGAAAACCAGCAATGTATGCTAAGCTTCCCAGGGAATGAACATGGTATCAGCCTTGTGGATGTCTCTGCACTGGTGCCTCACTGTATTCTGGAGGCATCTGGACAGGACACACCACAGCCACATCTAGCAGTTCTCATCTCATGCATGCCATAGATGAGATGGTCCAGGGCAGAGATTGTCCATGTCCTCAAGAGCAGGTGGTGAAGGCAGCCAACCTTAGGTGGTTCTGCAGAAGATAAACAGGTCCTGAAGGACTGATAGTGGATGCCTGGGAAGGATGTGTTTATTAGTCAACTTCACATTGCTCAGACAAAATATCTGACATACACAACTTAAAGGAGGAAAGAGTTACTTTGGCTCATAATTTCAGGAGATTCAGTCCATAATCAGCTGACTCCAAGGCGAAAGCATCATGGCAGAAGGGCATGGTGAAGGAAACCTGCTCTCTTCATAGTGGCCAGAACCAGAAGGAGAATAAAAGAACAAGAATGAGATATATACCTTCCAAAGGCATGCTCCCAGTGACCTACCATCTCCAACAGGACCCTACCTCTTAGTAGCCCATCTAGCTATGAAATCATCAGTGGGTTGGTCCATTGACAGTGTTAGAGCCCTGTGATCCAATCACCTTCTGAAAGCTCCACCTCTGAACACATGAGATTTTGGAGGGACATTTTAGATCTAAACCATAACAAGGTAGTAGGGTAAGAAATCACTTTTATAGTCCCAAAGGAACAGCAGAGGAATTCAAACTCAAGCTGAGTATGCATCAGTTTTCAGAGTAACCAAACCAACAGATGGTACAAGCAAACCTTTGGGTACAAAAACTCTCACTAGTGAAGGCATAGTTCTTTTATCAATGACAGATTTAATAAAAGGATGAGGCATAGGACCCAGGCATGGAGGAATCACTGCAGGACTGGAGGAAATTTGAGCTTCTTTACGTGCAACATGGGCCCATTGACACTTCTGAGTCAACAGTATGAAGAGGGAAACTAGGTAATAGAAGAAGGTGGTCATTGCTGCAAAGCCCACAACTAGAGTGAATATCTTAAAGGTCAGGGTCTCTGCTAGCAGCTGGGCTCAAGACTGGCCCCAGTTCTTCCCACTATCCAAGCCAAAGAAAGCAAAGTAGTAGCAATATCAGATTGCCTGGATTCAGGCAAATGGTCAAGAAGCATAGCTCTGATCTCCAAGTATCTGAAGCATCGTATTCTACAGATAAGTATCAAAGACTATTTCTGGCACTCTCTTTCCTAAATAGGATGATCCCATAAATATTTAGCCTGTTTGGCTCCTAACTGACTCTAGAATTGGCTGGAAATCCCAAAGTCTTGAGGAAGAACTGAACACAGGCAAGGAATGACAGCCAACCTGGAAGTATGTCTTCACTCTGACAATACACACCCTTGAAAGAAAGGGAAATGAGCCAAGGGTTATTGTGTTTGTTGGGCTTTTGGTTTGTTTAAATATTTAAACCTACTTGTACAACCATACCATGGAAGCAGTATGTCTCTACTTTTGGTGATGTCTTGACCAGTCAAGCCCCAAGTTAGTTCTTTCTGTCCCTCTTGGGCTGCACTAGACGAGGCAGGGAAGACAAAGGACAAAGCACCCAAGATGATGATCTGCTCTACCTCCTTCTCTTTGAAGCGGATGGCAGCCGTGGGGAGCTGTCCCAGCCCACCCTCACAATCCAGACTCATCCCTACCGGACCTGTGACCCCGTGGAGATGAGCTACCCGCGAGACCAGTTCCAACCCGCCATCCGGGTGGCTGACCTGTTGCAGCACATCACCCAGATGAAGAGAGGCCAGGGCTATGGGTTCAAGGAGGAATATGAGGTAAGATTCCAGCCTGTGGGGAGCCCTCCCAATAGCTCACAGGCTTATTTGGATGCTAAAGCCTTGCTCCTGGAGCAGAAGCAGCAGCAGAAGCATCAACATCACCTGTGAGTGTGGTAGATGTGCAGCTTCTCAGGGCCCACCACACCCACTGAGGCAGAATGTGGATTTTAGTGATTGGATACACATTAAATTTGTGTAGTACCATACTAAAAACAAAATCCTTTCTTGGTACTAGTGTTGATTCCAAGACCTTTACAATGAGCTACATCCCCAGTCCTTTTTCAAAACTTTGAAATTTTGACACAAGGTCTAAGTCACCCAGGCAGGGCTTAAACTTGCAGTACTCCTGCCTCAGCCTCCCAGAGTGATGGGATTACAAACATATGCCACTATGCCCCACCTAAAATATTTTTATACATGCCATCTCTTTTCTTTTTCCTCTCTCTTCTTCTCATAACCTACTTATCTCCAACCTTTCAATGTGTAGAATCATACCTTCTTTCAGTGTGAAGATGGCTCCAGCCTCCTTCCCACTTGGTGTAGATAAGCCAGCTGGTCTACCCTCCTATGATTTCTACTGTGCCTCCTTGCTCCTGACCTCTTGTGTCCCTCTTGCCTCTGTGCTCTTCTCACCACTCTGCACCAAGGCAATGCCTCATCTCTGGCAACTGCAGTGTCCTCTCTCTGTGTCTTCTCCTTACTGCTGACATTGGACATCCTTTGCCTCACTCCCAAAGCATCTCGGACACAAAGGATTTGCATGTCAGTTGTGGCTGTTCCTTCAGCGTGGGGACTAATAGAGATGAACCACAGAAAAGTACAAAAAAGTATCTTAATAAAATACTATTATTCTTTAAGTTCCTTAGCCATCCAGATCACTGAGGCATCCTTCAAGGTTCTGGTATGACAACTCTCTACTCACTCCCATACTGAAAGTTTTTTAGAGTCCCTTCAAGCCACCATCCTCCCAGAATCCAGGGCAAGGACTCTCACTTTTTCCTTTGTTATATAGAACAATTTTGTTTTCTTTGCCTCACTGCTTTTGTTTCAAACCTTGCCCATTAGACCTCACCTTTTACAAACAAAAAGTACAATAAAATAGAAGGAAAAACTCATTGAGATGTTTTCTAGAACCAAAGAGCAGCTCATTCCCCAAAAGGAATTCTGCAGCTCTCCTAGTGCAGGTGGAATCCAACTGCAGCCAGCTCTGAAAACAAACATTTCTCTCTTCACTTTTACTTCTCTCTCTCTCACTTTCTTTCTTTTGTCTAAAAGATGTCTTGAACATCTTCTCTGTGCCATGCTCTGAATTATATCCACACCTTCCTTCCTTCCTTCCTTCCTTCCTTCCTTTCTTCCTTCCTTCCTTCCTCTGTCTCTTTGTCTCTCTTTTTTCCCTCCTTCCTTCCTTCCTCATCCAGCATGTGCCTCCAGTATGTTCACTTCAGTTTCACTGTGTTCAGTGAAAACACAAAGGTTCAGACTCCACACACTTGGAATTCTTGCTAATGCAGGCTAAGTTTATCCCTCAGACTGTATTCTGAGAAATGACTTACAAAGAGGATTTTCTGAAGCCATGCAAGGTCATGAAATTGTGCTAAATTTGGGGGTACAGACAGCTAGAGTCTAGTACAGTAAACTGTGCCATCTTAGTATATCATTTCACTCTCTGAGTTCTTTAATTCTTTATTATTTGAATAAAGAGTTGGGATAAGGTGATTTTTAAGGACCTGTCTGGTCCTAAAACTTTATGAGAGAATAAAACATAGTGGCAAGGGGCATGTTTGGCATATTTATGAGGACAAAAACATTTATTCAATAGATGTGAGTAGTTTCCAGCTTGGGAGAATCTCCAGTTAATTTCAAACATGGTCAGAGTAACATAACATTTTTAATTTACTCAGTCTACAAATTTTGGAAGAATATTGGAATAAGAGTTAAAGGAGAATATCTCATCACCTCATATTCCTGGATCTTATTTCCTAGAAGATGAATGGACCCAGCCCTGGGGAGGAGGATACACTTATGCATGCCTATGTGCATGTATGAAGATTTATTTGATAAGCAAGTATCAGGAAAGGGTATGTCATTTGTAAAACTATACTCAATATGATGATGGCTTGACAAATCATTAGTCATAATAATTGGTCAAATAACATTAAGGGAGGTACATGGATCATCAGAAAGGGGACAAGTAGCCAAAGGCTAAGAAATTCTTGTTCTGCAATCTAAAATTCAGAACAGAAACACAGATGTACTCGAATACTCTGATGCACTCTCTTCCAGACTATCTCTTTAAAAGCATTCATCCATGTAGACTGGGCTGCTTTTTAAAATTTATTCTTTATACCTATTTGCATCTTCCAAACTTTCTAGCATTAAAAATCCTTCCATTAGAGTTAAGCAAATAATGCATGTTATTCCATCATTTGAACCTCAACCAGAAACCTCTCTAATGAGGCTAGCCTTGCCTTTAATTAGTTCAAATTATATTAATCAGCTTGCTGGAATGCCTAGCATCTAGTTAACAGCAATTTCTGATTAACTGAGGGTTAATTGGAAAACATTACTTAGTGAAAATGTGCTAATTTCCACCATGTACTAATACATTTTCTTAGAATATAGATGGATTTGGCTTTGATCGTGAAGGCTCCCACGATATCTAAAATCTCCCTCCTGAGTATGAGTCAGATCTGCTTGAAGACTCAATGTCCTGTTATAGACCTAAGACTCCTAAGTCTCTAGTTCTGCTCTCGTGCCAACCTGCTATGTGCTTTCTGATGCCTCTCACTTCTCTATCTTGCCCTGCTTTTTCATACAAATGAGTGGGTTTGACAAGTTGACATCTATAGGACCTCTCAGCTTTAGCAAGCTGTGTATTCTGAGATTCAGTGCAATTGCACGATCACACATTTTTCAGTAAATGTTTACTATTTACTATTGCCGAGGACTATTCCAGGTATCTGCAATGTGACAGTGAACATAGGGAAGACTCATGCCCTCAAGAAGCTCATATGCTAGCAAGGGAAATAGGAAATAAGCACAGGCTTAAAAATACATACATTAACTAATGTAGTAACAGTGAAAAACATTGTTTGCAGTGTTACAAACTACCCCAAATCTGAACAACGTAAAACAACTGATTTATTCCAGTCATTGGTTCTATGGGTTAAAAGTTTGGACGAGGCAAAAGAGAAACACTCTATCTTCTCACCATGATTTCAAGAACCTTGATTAGGAAGACTGCAAAGCTGGAGCTAACATCATCTGACAGTATCTTTGTTACCATGGGTAATGATCAATGCAGGCTGTCAGCTGAGGTCTCAGTGGGGAACACCTATGACAACACCCACAAGTGACCTCTTCAGGAAGACTGGGCTTCCTCACACTACGGTAATATTGTGATAGCGGAAGTTTTTACATGGTCACTGAGAGCTCCAAAGGGGAGCCTCCAAACTAAGAAGATGAAAAGTGTGATACTTTTGGCACCTAGACTTCTACACCACACTGCATCATTCCTACAACATCCTATTGTGTATATCAAGTAAAAACTGCCTCAGTTATAGGGGAGGGGAATTACACTCCATCTCTTGATGAGGAGAGCCAGTTGCCAGATTCTAGAAGAGGGTACAGAGCATAAGATATTGGAAATTACAATCATTGGACAGTACAGTCTGCCACAGAAAGTACAAGGAAAAAAGAAATAGTAGATTAAGGAAGGCAGATGGTGCTTTTGGGGGACCCGAAGTCAGGGAGATTCTAATATTAAATAGGGTAGATATGTAGTCTTTTTAATGAGATAATATTTGAAGAGAGACATGGTAAGAGATATTTGGAGGAAGAAAGTTCAAGATCAAGATAGTAATATACCTGGCTCATACAACCAGGATCAAAGAGACCAGTGTGGTAGGAGTACAATAAACATGAGGTTAAAATCATAGGCAATTAGATTGGACAACTAAAGAGAGACCTGATGCTGTCATGCATTATAAGCCACTGTAAGGACTTTAGCTTTTACCCTGAATGAAATGGAAAGATGCTTTGGTTTTGAGAAGACAAATAATAATCTGACTTTTGATAAAAGAGTCATTCTAGCTCAGGTGTTGACAACAAGACGTGGGGAGGCAAGGGCAAAAGTAAGGAGGCCAGTGACGAAATGACTGCAGTAACCCAAGTAGAGACGATGGTGACTCAGGCCAGGCCTAGCAAAGAATTTGGCAAGATAGTTGGACTCTGAATATATTTTAAAGATAAAACCAACAAGATTTTTCTAACACATAGCATATGAGTGAAAGAGAGGACTCAAGGGTGACTCCAAGTCTATTACCTAAGACACTAAAGTATGGCATTGCCATCCAGAAGATATGAGAATCTTCTAGGAAGTGAGAACTAGAGCAAGCAGTCCAATTTGAATCAAGTTTTCAATGTCTATTTGACATCTTCATGAAGATGGAAAGAGTTGGCTGTATGAGTTTGGAACTTGGGAAAGAAGCCTGAGCTAGACAGAAAGCATGGGGAACCATTGGCATACAGATAAGTATTAAGACCACAAACTGAGTGAGTCGCTAAGCACGTAAAGAGAGACCAAGACCAAAGGCTGATCATTTCAGATCTTCAACTTGAGAAGATGTGTGAGCACTTCCCATGAGTCATGAATTGTACGAGGCCCTAGGAAATAGGGAGATGAAATAAGCAGTCTTCGCCATTGGGAACTTAGATGGTACTAAAGAGAGGGTTATAATCTCTTGACAAAATGCCTCAGTAGAGGTAAACCCAGAATTATAGGTGCTCATGGAGGTAGGGTACATTAACCCTAGCCTACACATAGTGGCCAGTGACTTTCTAGAAGACACAAAACCTAAAGCAAAGCTTGAGACCTAAATAAAAGAAAGAAATGAAAGAAGAGAAGGGTGTTCCTGGCAGAGGAACTAGAGAACGTAGGAGAGACGGGACTGAATTTGTCAGCAAGGGCCACCATGGGGGAGCTGGGGAATACA